GAAATCTAACATGACCCTCAGAATCAGGAAATGCAGACGCTTCCATACCTGAATAGCAAACTGAAGAAGCAGGTGGTCAAGCACGCTCCAATCGTGAAGATGTAGGCCAATTGCATGTTGTAGGATGCCCCACTGTTCCCGTGCTGGATGGTGGAATTGGTGTAAAAGCCATAGTACATCACTGTGTCCCTAAAATAACCCTGAAAGGGACAATAAACCCTAGGTCAGGTGGATCTCCTGAAAAAAAAAGGTACACGACTATGGTCATGAGAGTTGACTTCTCCTGAATACAAGAAGCTTGGGCCAGTCAGTTTAGACATTTTGTTGTCCAGGAAAGGGGCACCGAGAATTGAGACATGGTGTCACTGGGCTCTCAGACTTGAAAAGAAATCCAACATAATTTTATAATTTTAGACCATTGGTTTAAACAACAGAAATTTATTTTCTCACGGTTCTGGAGGCCTGAAGTCCAAGATCAAGATGTCAGCAGGGTTGGTTCCCTCTGAGGCCTTTCTCCTTGGCTTGTAGACGGCCACTGTCTCCTGCCTGTGTCTTCATGTGGTTGTCCCTCTGTGTCTTAATCTCCCTTTTAATTTTACAAACTGTCACCTGGACCCAGTGACCAAGTGAAACATCAGCAAGAACACGACAGCCAGGCCTGTCGTGTCACCAGTATTATGTGCCTCTGTCACCAGTATTACGGCTAAACATGCTTAATAGGAAACAAATCAAGCCTTTAGGCCTACATTTCAGTGCACAGGAAATAAGAAGCCAGATAAACAAATTCTAGAAACTACTAGGAAATAATCAGACAATACCAGAAGGTAGGATGTTGGAATCTACATAGCGGCAGGTCCAATTTCTGCAATAAGCCAATGTCAAGAAAAAAGGGGCTGGCCTGGGGAGATGATTTTTTATTTATTTATCTTTTTTGAGATGGAGTCTCACTCTGTCGCCCAGGCTGGAGTGCAATGGCAAGACCTTAGCTCACTGCATCCTCCACCTCCCAGGTTCAAGCAATTCTCCCTGCCTCAGCTTCCCTAGTAGTGGGTACTACAGGCA